CCTTTCTAGATAGAGTAAAAGCAGCAAGTGATAGATATGTTCGGCTTCCTTTCTTCACGGGTCCTAGTTCAGTTCGTATTCCCATATTTAACATGTCCTCCCTTGCTTTAAGGCCATCCTTAGACTTTCATTTAATATTGAGTAACGTACCAATAACACTTTCAAATAAATTTTTTTTTCAATATGCATAACATCGAGAAAATGTCTCACATACAGAGACTTCTAATATGGAAATTAAAAAAAAATTGATCTCTTCTTCCACCCACCTTTGACAACCGTATGCGTAAAAGGCTTACCAAACTGAGTACACACATATTTCACCTTTTCAAAAATTTAGTCACCTGATAATGCAGGTTGAGCTTTATGTTGTTCGGTGTCTCCATTGAATGCTTTTATCCATGCATGATAGTGATGTTTAGAATGTAAGAATCTACGATGACCGAGAAACACATTCTTTTGAAAAAGTTCCAAACGCGTCATATCGGTTCCATCTTCACAAACAGGACACACACGTTGACCTTTAATGCTATACCCAGATAGATTCCCGTATGCTGGAAAATCATTAATTGTGCAAAATAACATCGCCCTCAAATTGAAACTTTGTTTCCTATATCCATCATAAACCTCTACCCCGTTCTCCCACAAAATCTTTAAATCTCCGATCAAAGGTGTCCAGTATACATCTATGTCATTCTCTGGTTCTTTAGGCCCTGAAATTAACATAGATAACATCATGTACTTACGCTTCATACATAGCCATGAAGATAGGTTATAAATCATAAGAATCGCAGGTCATGTGGTATGTGAGATACTTTGAAGACCATGCGGGTTTATTCCATCAGTAGATAAAGCCAAGTGAAGGTTTCTTGCTTCTTCTCCAAAGTCAGGATAATCATTATCAATTTTCGACCACTGGCGAATCTGCCGGATGTCGATACTTTCCATCAATAATTATTTCATCCGTATGCCAAGTCAGGTGTCTTGCATCGGTTTCACTATGAAACATGCGCCTAAATCTCGGAATTATAGGAAAATACCATAAGACTTTTGCTGGAGACAATTTTTTCTTATATCGAGACAAACCATATTTAGGGCACTCATTTAACGATGCATATTTGTTTCAAAACAAAACACAATCGTTTGGACAAGCATGTATCTTATCATAGCTCATGCCAATAGAGCATAATATTTTTTTGGCCTCATAGGTTCGATTAGGAAGAACATTATCCTCCGGAAGCATATCTCTCATAAGGGCTAATAACTCTGAAACTTTTATCTGACCATCCATTGTCCGCCTTTAAGTTGTACAAATTTAATACCGCAGTCAGTCTTGTGAATTTAGTGCAACCTTTATACACCGGTTTCTCTGCACCACTTACCAATCTCTCAAACATTTTGGGACAATCCTGAAGATCTTCTTCAAGTGCATCTGCAATCTCTTCGACTCGATCAAAATCGTATGTATCTGTGTCCTTGTCGTCTGAAGCATAGGCCGTACTACTTTTCTCCCCCGGTTCAACGTTGTTGTTACTTTTTTCGCCGTGAAATATCCAACACGTATAACTTCGATCAATTCCACGCATTAGTAAACACAATTTCAATCCATCTGCATCAACCTGACCCACATAACAACAACCCAAGCAAGGACACTTCATTCGACTGGGGTCTTTGGCGTGATTACCAACAAACTTAACAAATTCCAATACCCCATTCTCGTACTCATGTGGTAATCGATCGACAGACATCCATTTTTTATCCAATTTTTCTACTAATTCAAGTAAACAAAAACACTTTAAACGGATTATTCCCTTTTTGTTTGAATTAAACGAATTATTTCTAGAAATTTATTTCTAGAGTTAATAACATGGACTAAAAATAAATATATCTATATAAAAATAATTGTGTTTTTTAATTGATCGATACAGATAGAATTTGAACTTGACTTACCAAAGAAAGAAAATGGGTTGTTGGTGTCGACGGCGGATGATGCGGCTTTGATGTTCTTCGAATCAGTGATGGTCTTCGACTAACTACACCAATACAAAGGGATCATCAAAAATAAGTTGTATATGTATAGGGCTATAATAGCTTAAATCCACAAACTTTAAGAATTTGTTCTTAGACAAGTTTTTTTGTGAAAAATTGTATGAGAAACAAATCACTTATGAATTTTTTCTATCATATTATATTTCTTTCCAATAGAAACACAATATTTAGGAGTAATAATGCTTAAACAATTCTGAAACCAATTAAAATAACAAAAAAACAAGTAAAATAGTAAAATAGTATTAAAATAGTATTAAAAGTAAAGAAACCAAACAACCAACAAGTAAAAAAATGCTAGTTCATGGAGAATATAAACATGATAAACAATTCAGAAACCAATTAAAATAACAAAAAAACTCATCATCATCTTTTTTACTCCAAAACAAAGAACCAAAAGAAAATGCAATAATGTTAAATGTTAAAAGTGTTGCTGTTATATATCAAGCCCTACCAAGAACCGAAAAATCAAAATGCATACCTATAACTCAATTATGCATATCTATAACTCAGTTTGGACATCAATAGGAGGATAATGTCTTAGATGTTAGCATAGTACATTATCAATAGGAGGGTAACTCAGTTTGGATATCAATGGAGATAAAGACATTTTCAAGAAAGAACCTACCTTAAGAACTGGCCGGTGTGGGTGGAGGACAACCGAGAGAGACAGTGGAGGACAGAGGGAAATGGCTGGTTGGACAGCGACATAAAGGGTTTCTGTTCGTGAGAATGAGAGGGAAAGGGTTTTTGTTCGTGTTCGTGAGTCTGTGAAAGAGAAACAGTACACTGATTATATTTTTTAATTTTCATTTATATGGCTTTAGACAGCGCTGGTTAATATGGGCCTTTAGCAGCCCTTTTGAAAAGCGGTGGCTAATAGGGTCCTTTAGCAGCGCTTTTCAGATTTTTTTTAAAATTTTATATGACTTTAGACAGCGCTTTTTAAAAGCGCTGTCTAAAGTGGTCCTGTACCAGCGCTTTTGATAAAGCACTTTCTAAAGCAACACTTTTAGCAGCGCTTTTTAAAAGCACTGTGTAAGGTTACATTTTTAGCAGCGCTTTTACTTATTATTGTATACAGTTTCCGTGTTTTTTTTTAAATTCACTTATAGCAGCGCTTTTGTATAAAAGCACTGTCTAATGTGCGTTGTTAAAAGTCATTTTTGGCGTAGTGTAATAATTATTAATTAAAAATATATTTACGCCTGAGCTTAGAAAAATTACCACAGTATTTGAAAGAATCGTGATGACTTTAACGTTGTTGTATGCGCATTTTATAGTAGTAAAATAAATATCAAAAAAAGAATAAAAATATTTTTATTTTGAATTAGATTTTTATTTCTTTCAAAAATCAAATATCTTCAAAACCTAAAATACTTTAGACTTAAGTTTTCTCTTATTAAAAATATTTTTATTAAAAAAAAATTGTTTAGATGCATGTAAAGATTTTATTTTTAAACATATCACTAAAACAAAAAAAAGGAAGACTTTTTTTAGGTTATTTTATCTTTTAGAAATAATTTTGCTTGTGTGTGATTGATTTGTTTAATGCATATTTTTAATTATGAATGCATGTGTGGATGAAAAAAAAATGACTTTTCTTTAGGTTGTTTTATCTGTGGAAATAATTTTTCCTTTTTCCAATGATATCTATAGATGATCTTATGAACTTAATTTATTATGTTTTTAGTAATTTATATAAGAAAAATCATTTCAAAAACATATAGAATTATCATGAAATTTTAGCAAAAATATGGCATTTCCATTTGTTGTCTATACTTCCCGTTATATTTAAATCTTACAAGTTAAATATAGGTCTAAAATGCAATTTATATTTGTAATGTATTATTTTTTAAATTTTTTTTAATAAATAAATGGAGTAGAATGGAATGAATTTGAAGGAAAAAAAAAATCCATTCCATCATTTGGATATTTTACAATTAAATAAGGTAAGTTAGTCATTCATTCAAATTAGATGCAATAAAATGAAATCAATATCACTTCAATTGATTTTGCATTTATAATTTTAAGTAATCCAAAAAAATCTTATTTTATTTGTTTAGGTTTGATTCTTAAAATAATATGTCATTATTCATTTACTTTTTATCTCTCATTTCGTTTAAATTAGAATTATATTAATATTAGACTTAAATATATTTGTAATCTTTTAAATCAAATAAACAAAATCTATATATATATATATATATATATATATATATATATATATATATATATATATATATATATATATATATATATATATATATATATATATATATATATATATATATATATATATATATATATATATATATATATATATATATATATATATATATATATATTAAAACCAAAAAACTACCTATTTATATAGACAATTACATTTAAACCTACTCTCTGTAATCCACCATACCAATGCAAGTTGGTCATAAAAATTCAATGAGTAACTTCAGGTGTTACTATAAATAAACGAAAGCTTACTATCTAAATCAAACTCAGAGAAATAGAATTACATCTACTAAACTCAAATTTTGGTTTTTACCTCATTTTTCTTGAGTTCATACCACTATTATGAATTCTTCCAAAGTTCTGCTATAAAGATGAACTTGTTTAAAAGTTCATCACTTTATTGCAAGAATTAAGTGTAAGAGTTTCTTATCTAACACTCTTATTATAAACTAAAGACAAAGCATTGAGTAACCAAAAAACAAAAAATGACAAAGCATTGAAGATTATCTCATAAAAATTTAGAATGTAAATCTTTAACTATATGAATTACCATAACTTTTAAAAAAAAAAGAAAAGTGTTTTCACAAATTAAACAATATTTACTTCTCATTTTTCACTATAAATAATCTCAACATCTCACAATTCTTATAAGCCTCTCAAAAAAAAAATAAAACCATATGTTTAGTGACATTTTCATAGTGTCTGTAATTATTCAAAGTTCTAAAATGGCTCTCTCTTTCAAAATCCAACCATTCATCTTCTTCTCCCTCCTACTCACTGCTTCTGCTTCTCCCAATGATTTATCCTGTCTCAAAGTTTCTCCCATCAATTTCACCAACTCGGCTGAAGAAGTTATCACCAATATTCAACAAGTCACCTCCATTTTTTCGCGCTTCACAAATGCTTTCGGACAACCTCACCTCTTAAATGCTGTTTCTGATTGCCTGGATTTACTTGACATGTCCGCAGACCAACTAGACTGGATTATCTCCGCCACTCGGAATCCAACAGGTATTACTAATTCATACACGTTACAAAACATGTGTCTGTGTCCGTGTCTGTGTCTATGTAGTGTCAGCATTATCACCTCCTTTGTTGTATTCTTCTTTTGTTCGTTATCTTTGTAGCTAAATGTTTTGATATACAGGGAAGGATAACAGTACTGGAAATCTAAGCTCTGATCTAAGAACATGGCTGAGCGCTGTTCTTGTGAATCAAGACACGTGTATAGAAGGATTACAAGGTACAAATGTGATGGGTCTTGTATCCACTGATCTTTATCGTGTAATGTCCTCGGTGAAGAATCTTCTTGATCAAGTAATTCCCATCAACGATCAACTCGCAACTGCTACCAGTTCGGATCAATTTCCTTCATGGATGATAGACAACGACAAGAAGGTGTTGCAGGAAAACGAAGTTACTGCAGACGTTGTTGTGGCTGCGGATGGAAGTGGGAATTACAGTAACGTGACGGATGCGGTAAATGCAGCACCTGAACTCAACATGAAAAGATATGTTATATATGTGAAGAAAGGTGTTTATAATGAGAATGTTGAGATTACGAAGAAGAAATGGAATGTTTTGATGATCGGTGAAGGTATGTATGCTACTGTTATCTCCGGTAGTCGGAGTTGTGTCGACGGTTGGAAGACTTACGGATCAGCTACCTTTGGTATGATTACATTCACACTCATTACTCATTACTGTTTTTGAGTCATTACTTGATAACTTAATTCTCATTTTGCTATGCAGCTGTAAATGGTAGAGGGTTCATTGCACGCGACATTTCATTTCGAAACACTGCAGGTCCCACAAAGGATCAAGCAGTGGCATTAAGATCAGACTCTGACCTCTCTGCATTTCACAGATGTGGGATATTCGGCTATCAAGATAGCCTATATTCCCACAGCAATCGTCAATTCTACAGAGACTGCACAATAGCTGGTACCGTGGATTTCATCTTTGGATATGCCACGGCCATGTTCCAGAATTGTCAAATAATAGCCAAGCAAGGGAGGCCTGGACAAAAGAACACTGTTGCCGCTCATGGAAGGATAGACCCAAACCAACCAACCGGTTTCTCCTTCCAATTTTGCAACATCTCAGCAGAGAATGATACCGTCCCAACATACCTTGGTAGACCCTGGAAGAATTTTTCACGGACAATTTTCATGCAATCCCACATGAGTAACGCGATAAGACCAGAAGGGTGGTTAGAGTGGAACGGAAGTTTTGCTTTTGACACATTGTACTACGGTGAATACATGAACTCTGGACCAGGTGCTGAGGTAGCTAACAGAGTGAAATGGCCGGGTTACCATGTGTTGAATGACTCCAGCGACGCTGATAACTATACCGTGGCTCAATTTATTGAGGGGGATCTTTGGTTATCCTCCACTGGTGTTAATTACACTTCTGGTTTGTAATTCATAATGGTTCTTGATTTTGCATCAAACAAAATCTATGTAAATGGGTTACTGTTAACCCCAATTAATTAGTACTGATTATTAGATATTTTCTGATGCTTTATTTTGAGCAAGATCTATGATATGCTTTTGTATCTGTTCAATTTTAAGTCTTTCTTTTCTATAACATTAATTTATGCATGATCATCATATTTATATTCATGTATTTAAAATGTTTTGATTTAATACCATTGATACGCTTGAGCAATGAAGCATGAATTTGGCAAAATTTAATTTATGGAAGGTGTTTGTTTGTTTAATACATGAGAAATGGTTTAAACAAGTGTGTAATTTCTCATTTCCTCTCATTTTGCATTTATAGTTTTATTTCTTTGTGCCCTTATTATGATACGATTGGAATGTAAAACTTGGACTATCTAAGTCGATCTGATTGGTGCGTTTGTGAAAGGAGGAATTGTTGCCGATATGTTTGGAGAAGGCATTGTTGTAGAGTAAAGTTAATTGAATGTGGGAGATACGAAGATCTTAGATGATGTGTGTGATTTGTTGGAGCTCAAAAACCATGGAAGCCATAGTCATGTACTTTCTCCGACCTTATTTATAAACAAAAGTCTACTAAATTTTTTGATCTTAAATATAAGTAAATGTCAACAAATCTAATTGCATTTAATGCTTGTATTTCAAAATTATCTCTGAATTAATTACTTAATATTATTAGTGGGTGACAATTTAATTGAGGTTATACTAATAATTAATTATTTCTCTTACATTAAATCAATAAAATTAAATCCACTCAATTGTTTATCTTAATAAACGTGAAATTTGTCTTTTTTTCCTTAAAAATCAAGCGAAAATAGTACTTGTCTTTAACGAAACTTCGTGAGACAATGGGAGGCTTCATTGATTTCTAAGATATCAAGGAGTCACCAAGGTAGATGCATAATCCACTCAAAGATCAGAGTGTGTCAGGACATGTTGTCAAATCAAAGTAAAAAAGTCTTCAATTGGAGAGGAAAAGAGGAAGGAAAACAAAAGCCTTCAGCAGGGGAAAGCTTATGGCAGCAACATAATGAATATTAGCAAGTTTAACCATATTTGGATAAATTGTTGAAAATCATAGGATATATTTGGTCAAGTTTTGAGTATATATATGAGTTGGTCAACTATTCTTCTATAGGATGTTGCATCTTGAACAAGGCTTCCTTCATCCATAGTAAGTCTCGTATCTCGAAACGTGGGTGTTGTGACAGACTTACATCCAAGGAGACTCGTGTCGGAGAGGATGTCTAAAATATATTTTCTTTGGCATATATTAATCTTTTTTCTAGATCAAAAAAATATTTGAGTGTCCTTATGTCTTTGATCTTGATGTGGTTATGCAATGTGGTCTTCATAGAATGAATAAGGTATAAGTTGTTTCCAGTAATTATTAGATCACTAGCGTAAATTAGTAAGGTAGTAAATGATGTAGATGATTGATTTATAAAAGGAGAATTAGTTGCAAAGCTTTGTTTAAAACCTTATGATAATAGGACAATAGATAACTTGGCAAACAATTTTCTACTTGACTTTTTAAGACCATAAGAAGATTTTAAAAGTTTACAAATTTGATTTCGATGAGAAGTTTAGATGCCTCGAGGTAAGGTCTTGTATACCTTCTCACCCAAATCACCATGAACGAATTCATTTTGTACATTTAATTTAGCAACAGGAGAAAAGGTGTAAAAAAAATCAATACCTTTGATTTGAGTGAAGTCCTTAGCAACTAAACTTGCGTTGTGTCTTTTAATAGTTCCATCAACTTTAAACTTGGTTTTAAAGATCATTTTCATCCAATGGCCTTCTTACCCAAAGGGAGAATAGTAAAATCCAAGTTTTGTTATTAGACAATGCCAAAAATCATGGCGTAAAACCAATGAGGATGTTTAATGGATTGTCTATAGGACAAGGGTTCACAATTGTAAGAGATAGAAGACACAAAACTATATAATATGGGAGAAGTATTGGCATAGAAAATAACTTTTGAAATGTCATACAAATAAGAAGATTGAAAATGCATTGCATATATATTTATTGAGTTATGTAGGTTTGGTTTTGGGTCTAGTAGATTTTCTGATATGGGTGGTAGGTGTATGGCTAATAGGGGAGGAAGTATGGGATGATGTTTGGGTGTATATTAGAGGTTAGAGTTTTGTTAGTGGTGTTATAAGTGTCTAAGGGGAAGTTAAACAAAAAGATGTTATCGGTGTCTTCAGGTATTGAGGTTGTAGTTATATATATTGTCAAAGGCCTCGTCTAGGACGATGCCTTTAGACCTTCCTAGAAGAAACAACGATATGATGTTTCCCAAAGGAAGGTATCGCCTTTCCCCTTGGTTTTCACATCACCCTTATGTGGGGAACCTGGGATAATATGCTTTTTGGGCAGAGGGAAAGTCAGGATAATTAACTGAACCATGTTTCCCTTGGAAATAGGGATTAATAACGGTCCACCATTGATTGGGTGGGTGGTGTCTCTTTCCAAAAAAACCCTAGGTCCTAGATGACTCTATAAATACATATATTCTCAAGGAGAGAAGATAGGCCCAAAGTCATACACATTCTCTACACCGTAAAGAGCACAATTCTCTCCAAAGTCTTAACACCCCACTAACCATAACCATACGCTTGCCCCCCAAGCATCATTGGTCATCAACAAAGCCTCTCACCTTAATAGTTGAATTTATCTCTTTATTTCCGATATTTAATAATTTAATTTATTGCATTTTGTTATTTTTGAGTAGTTTGTAAAGAGTACAATAGGTGCTCTCTTTTGTGAGTTTTTATGTATATGTTGCATGTGTAGAGTTAACTTCTGATGAAGCATGACATGCCAATTATGGAATAGAGCCTAGCCCTAATTGAAAGAAGAGAGCTGGAAGCAATAAAAGTTAAAGAAAGATTCCATCCACTCTTCTAGGGCACAAGTGGAAACAATCTGCAGAATGGAAGATGTTTGAATCAAATACGTAAATAGATAAGATCAAGGTACTAGAGGATAAAAATTCTCACAATAGTACACCCAATACAAGCCTTGTTTCTTCAAAGGACAAATGCAAAGACTATGTCTCCTGAACATCTGTGCCACTAGCCTGCCACAAGACACTTTTTCTCCCACATGCTGATTGTATCTGACTCTGCATTGGTACAATATCGAATAATTTGAGAGATTTATGTTGATTCCTTTGGGCCAGAATTCACAAATATCCATAAGTCCATGATCCAAGACAACACAAAAAACCCTAGTTAGGTGTGACTATAAAATGACCTCTTAGAGCAAATGAATGAGGTTCATCTTTTTATAGAAAGAAATACTTAAAGAAAATGAGTGAAGAGAGTGAGATGAACAAAGTGGAGATCTTCTCCTTCTCATCATTTCAAGTGTTTGCTACTAGTATTTGGCGTGATAGAGGTCATCTCTTGGTGATCAAAAATTGCGAGAAGACAAAGATGTTACTCTTAGATTTTAATTTCTTTTTCATTATGTGATTAAGAATGATTAGCTTAGGAACCAATATTCATGTATGTACTAAGCTCATCATGAGTTAAACCCATTTATGTTGAGAAATGTGAAGTTAATATGAATTAGTCGTTTATGTTAAATGGTGCGTTGTTAGTGCTTTGTTTTATTGTGTGTTAAACTATTATAAATCTATTTCTTTGAATGATTAACTTAGGAAAAGATGCAAGCTTGTTATTGTGAGAGATCCAATAACAAGTGGATTTCATGATAAAAGCGATTCAAAATAGCATGATAGATATATTCACTAGATTAGCTACTTTATAGATAAAGAGATACAATCATGGAGGATATTAAAAATAAAACCAGACATACATTAAAGTTAAAATCAAGGTTTAGAGGTTTGTCTCATTGCTTTACTGTATATGTTTATAATTATGTAGAGATACACCACAAGCTCACTTTCTAACCTCTTCTGGCACGACATAACACATCATGTCCACAAACAACTGACAAGTTATATTAGCGGATCATTTCCCAAAATGCTCTTCATTTTTGAACTCATTTACTCTCTTTAATATAATCTCAACTTTGTTTGCTACCAAATTGAACCACCATAAATTATTTTTGATCTTACTCATGGTCATTTATAAAAGATAATTTTACAAAATCAACCTAACTTATTTTCCATTCCTTGTGGGTTCAACATCCTTACTATTCTATCACTTACTACTTTAAACATACATGTATACTTGTATGTGACATCACATGTTTTCAAGCAACAACAATACTCCTAAACTATCACAAAACACCACTATATAGGGCTTCTCGCCATCATGGGAAAACCTTAACCACCATATCATGTTATAAACCTACTAAGGCCTATAAGTATCCCTTCCTTTGTGAGGGGAACATGTATACATGTACTTTCTGACAAGTGTAGTGGCGCCCCACTGTGGGACACCGGTAAAACTAACATGTGAAATATTAATACCCTAACTCTCTTCATCTTACCTATGGAGATGGTCAATAAAGCCATAACCTACAATGTAAATACCATCATAGAAGGCTTTTTCGGTGGAGGTAATTCTATATCTTCCCGGAGGAAGTATGCAAGGCAGAAGCTCTAAAGGGAAATCATGGGTATATATCATCTTTTCCAAGGAGGACACCCTCATACTCAACCCTCAAGATGATGATCCTCTTGCCATCAGTGTGCAACAAGGGAACTGGGACATCAAGCTTGTGTTGATAGACCCTAGAAGCTCAATTGACATCTTTTTTTGGGATGCCTTCCAGAAGTTGTAACTCGACCCAAGCGACATAAAAAACTTTCAATGGTTCTTTGACGGGGTAATCAGGCGAACAAGTACAAATAATGGGCCACATAACCCTGGAAACCACATGTTGAGAGGGAACTAACGTCGGGGAGATTGACATCAACTACCTCATTATGGATGTTGTATGACCATATAACATCATTCTTGGGTGGTCGGCTATCA